GTTCTAAAAAATATAAGGGTTTGAATATTTGAGTTTGTGGCAAAGTTACGCGCTTGCGGCGTAGAACAGGCACTCTCTCTGTAATGTAATTCAACGCAGCATGCGCGTAACTCATTTTAGATGCTGCCTCCTGGTTATTGTGAACGAAAAACCCTAAATCTAGAAAAGACGACATCTAGTGTTCTATCTGTGTTGTTATTAATCTATGCCTTCAACTGTTTTTTATCAAGTGTAGATTGTCACCATCTAAAGAATACACGTTTAAACGAATGTAATATTTTTGGTTCTCTGTCAACGCTGAACCAAATATTAATAAATTAATATATATCTGAGCATATTGTATATGGTTTAAACATTTCTGTAATAAAATTAGGTTTATTCTCAATATATTCCTTCTACCATTGAAATATATTGATTCACATTTACATATTCAGATCTACTGTCAGCAGGCACTGTAGTAGAATACACAATACAAATATGTTTACAATTTAAACTTATTTTCACCATTTTTTCTTTCTTTTTAATTCAAAGAACCATGAAGTAACAGTTTAAATTATTCAATTATACACATCACTAAATATTTTTTTTTGCTGGGTTTATGAAGCACGTGGATAAGTATTAACATGTGATAAAAGTTGAATCCTGGTTAAATGAGGGTTCACAACTAAAAATCGCTAGACAAAGGGCGTCTGGACAGATAGGAGCATATAAAACAAAATTATTTCGAAAAATATATTCGTCTATCCGCACAAATCTTAATAAATAAAGCATCAAAACGTTTATTTCAATATTTCTACACTTAAAATATGAACCCTGCTAACTTTTTTGTTTTCTGTAAAACAGCACTAATCCAGTTTTTTTACTCAGTAGAAACCCAATACTTATTTATTAATATATTTTATATTTAGAGATTTCTCTATTAATTTGCAAAAATCTGTTATTAAATATTTTCCCGGGACTTATTTATATCACTGAGCGCATTATCCAGCAGTTTAAGATCAGGTTGATCTAGGCAATAAATATTAGAAGTACTTCACAATAAATTGGATTTAGATGGTTCGATGGAAGGATTTATTGGAATTGAATACAAAACAATTGTTTACATTTGTGTTTACATTAGGGAGAGAAGTGTTGGCAATTGTTTATATTGTGTGTACACTTAGTATACTCAGTTTATTACCTTGATGTAAACCATTGAGAAGCAAGTTTATAGAGTATATGAACCATAGAGTAGTAAGATTATAAAATATCTAAACCATAGAGTAGTAAGATTATAGACTATATGAACCATAGAGTAGCAAGTTTATAGAATATATTGACCATAGAGTAGTAAGTTTATAGAATATACGAACCATAGAGTAGTAAGTTTGTAGAGTATATGAACCATAGAGTAGTAAGTTTATAGAATATATAAACCATAGAGTAGCAAGTTTATTGTATAAACGAACTATAGAGAGGTAAGTTTATAGAGTATATGAGTCATAGAGTAGTAAGATTATTGAATATATGAACCATAGAGTAGTAAGATTATTGAATATATGAACCATAGAGTAGTAAATTTATAAAATATATGAGTCATAGAGTAGTAAGATTATTGAATATATGAACCATAGAGTAGTACATTTATATAGTATATGAGCCATATACAGTCCTAATCAGAAAGACCCGGAATTAATTTTCAATTAATCAGACGACTTTACAATCTTATTTTTGCAAATATAATTAATGAAACAAAAATTACTAAATAGCCCTAGTCCTGTCATTTCCAAAATGTGGTCTGCCTTTTTGAGCACTTAAAATTGCCAGAGATATATATGTAAAGTCGTCAGATTAACTGTCAATTAATTCCGGGTCTTTCTTATTATAATTAGAAGGTTTATAGAATATATGAACCATCGAGTAGAAAGTTTATAGAATATATGAACCATAGAGTAGAAAGTTTATAGAATATATGAACCATAGAGTAGTAAGTTTGTAGAGTATATGAACCATAGAGTAGAAAGTTTATAGAATATATGAACCATAGAGTAGTAAGTTTATAGAATATATGAACCAAAAGTATACGTAGGTTTATAGAATATAGGAACCATAAAGTAGTCAATTTTTAGAATAAATGAACCATGCATAGAGAAGTTAGTTTATAGAATATTGAGTAGTAAGTTGACAGAATATATAAACCATACAGTAGTAGTAGTAGTAATTTTATAGAATATACGAACCATAGAGTAGTAATTTTATAGAATATATATCCATAGAGTGGTAAGTCTATAGAATATATGATATTGAACTTAGAGTACTAGGTTTATATAATATATAAAGCATATAGCAGTAATTTTAAATAAACGAACAACAGAGCAGCAAGTTTATATTTTATGAACCATAGAGTAGAAAGTTTATAGAATATATAAACCATAGAGTAGTAAGTTTATAGAATATATAAACCATAGAGTAGTAGGTTTATAGACTATATAAAACAGAGGTTTATAGAATATACAAACCATAGAGTAGTAAGTTTATCGAATATATAAACCATAGAGTAGTAAGTTAAAAGAATATATATAAACCATAGAGTAGTAGGTTTATATAATATATAAACCATAGAGTAGTAAGTTTATAGAATATACAAAATATATATCAGTAATTTTAAAGAATACGAACCAAAGAGCGTAGTTTATATATTATGAACCATAGAGTAGTAAATTTATTGATTATTAACCTTAGAGCTTATGAACTTTAGGGCATAATTTTATAGTTTATAGTTTATGAGTTTCCTTTAAAAAGATTATTATTATGTTTTAATATTGATGCTTCAGTGGAAGTTTAAAAGATTCCAGGCGAAGCTTGGTTCCCAAGCGGCTAGTACTTGTATAGTTTGCTCTGTTATGAAAACATTAGAAGAAAAATATTAAAACAATATTAAACTTTCTACTCGGTAAACATAAATCTAATTCAAGGTTTTATTATTAGAACATGTATTCCAAGTTTAATTGAAACCTCCGAAAAAAGCTTACTTTAACTAGTGAATCAACAACAGGGTTTCCAAATTATTTATGGATAAAGTAATTAATTTTCGCACACTTTTTGCTGTGCCAGAACTAGGAAAAATTAACTGAATTCGTGGAATTAATTACTTTGTATAACATTTCAATGCCAAAATAAGAATCCTTTTTAAAAAAAATCAGATCCAATAAAAAGTTTTTTTTCTGTTCTGACTGTACCCTGCAGTAAATATCTGTATACCTTATATATAGTATAGCATAGTCTGTATGAATGTGAATATGTATGTTCTATATGATAAATTGATGTGTATGTTTGTAATGTATTGAAGGACTGTATTGGTATATCTGAATGTATTGAAGAGGACTGTATTGGTGTATCTGAATGTATTGAAGAGGACTGTATTGGTGTATCTGAATGTATTGAAGAGGACTGTATTGGTGTATATGAATGTATTGAATGAAATGAAGGTACATATCTTGACTAATAGTCTTGACACACTTCATATCATTTATTCATCTCTTAGATAATTTTATTCCGATAGAAAAAGTGACATTATCAAACAAAAACACAAATCTACTTTTATACATGTACTGTACATTCAAATATACTTTTATACATGTACTGTACATTTAAATCTACTTGTATACATGTATTGTACATTAAAATTTACTTTTATACATGTACTCTACATTAAAATCTACTTTTACACATGTACTGTACATTTAAATATACTTTTATTTTTGTACTGCACATTTAAATCTACTTTTGTAAATGCACTGTTTATTTAAATCTACTTTTACACATGTACTGTACATTTAAATCTACTTTCATTCATGTACTGTACATTTAAATCTACTTTTATACATGTACTGTACATTTAAATCTACTTTTATACATGTACTGTACAATCAGGGTTACCCACAAAGGATGAGATTGACCGAATGGGCTGAAATTTTTTGAGGAAAACCATGGGTACCCGGACAATCCGGTAATATAGGCTAAGCAATTCGATGTATACTAGTCCTCTTCAATATCCTGTAGTGGTAAACTCTGGGGGGGATATAATACTAATTCTCTTCAAGATCCTGTAGTGGTAAACTCTGGGGGGATATAATACTAATTCTCTTCAAGATCCTGTAGTGGTAAACTCTGGGAGATATAATACTAATTCTCTTCAATATCCTGTAGTGGTAAACTCTGGGGGGATATAATACTAGTCCTCTTCAATATCCTGTAGTGGTAAACTCTACGGAGACTACTTTAATTAAGAGATCAAACATTTATCCTAAAATTTAAAATTACATTTCAAATCGAATAAAGTGTTTAATATCACACACAAGTTCTGACCTGAGTTGTTCTCAACTTTTTACTGGAAAAATGTTTTTCATTGTCATTTTATCATACAGGGCTACTCACAAAGGATGATACTGTAAAAACGACCTAAACCTCTTTACATATAACATTTCCAAGGGTAAATAAAGTTTTCTTTAGTTTCTAATGATTGGAGAAAGAACGGAACTAATTTTCAGGTGCAGGAGATAGTAAATAATTCTAAATATAAGAACGGACAGTGTTATGTCCGTACAGTCGTCTCTAAATATAAGAACGGACAGTGTTATGTCCGTACAGTCGTCTCTAAATATAAGAAAGGACAGTGTCATGTCCGTACAGTCGTCTCTAGATATAAGAACGGACAGTGTCATGTCCGTACAGTCGTCTCTAAATATAAGAACGGACAGTGTTATGTCCGTACAGTCGTCTCTAAATATAAGAACGGACAGTGTTATGTCCGTACAGTCGTCTCTAAATATAAGAAAGGACAGTGTCATGTCCGTACAGTCGTCTCTAAATATAAGAACGCACAGTGTTATGTCCGTACAGTCGTCTCTAAATATAAGAACGGACAGTGTTATGTCCGTACAGTCGTCTCTAAAGTCTGATCCTTTGAGGGTAGCCATTATTTTTTATTTCTTTTCGATTCTCTCTTTGATATTACACAATTCATCAAATATTTTATTTCACAAAAATCAATATTTGTTCTTTATTATCTAAACTACTAAAATAACGGTGAAAACATTTTACTTTTTAAAAATAAAATGAATTCAAAACTTACCGAAAAGTACTATTTATAGGCGAATGTTTTACATTAACACCCTAAACAAGACAAAAAACATAAAAATGAAGAATAAAAATATAAAGTGAATGGGGGGGAGGAGGGAGGGAGGGATTATTATTTCTGGAAACATTTCTGGTATTTCTCAAACAAAAACTTTATTAAAAACTGAACATGAAAAGAAAATAACTTTTCTGTATCAGCAAAGTCGTAGAGTTTAGATTTTTCGAAGAACAATTAGAACATTGATATTGAAACCAACTCTAGAGAAGACTTTGTCTGACTAGTTTGCATATCAATATAAAAAATAAAATAATGCTAACCAAGAAGGACTGAATGAATTTGTTTAGGATTAATAAGGAAAAGAACTAAAATAAAGATTAGGATTAAGATTAGGGGATAAGGACGAGGACTAGAACTAAGATTAGTACTAGGACTAGAACTAGAACTAGAACTAGAATTAGAATTAGGACTAAAACTTGAACTAGAACTAGACCTAGAATTAGGATTAGGACTAGAACTAGGCAAGAAATAAGGCTAGAACTAGGACTAAAATTAGGATTAGGACTAACATTAGGATTAGGAATAGGATTTGGACTAGAACTATGACTAGATTATTATTATCTAAGACTAAAATTGAATTAAGACGGAGAATAGTATTATCTAGTACTAGATTACAACTAGGACGGAGACTAGAATTATCTAGGACTAGATTATAACTAGGATTGCACGGGACTATCATTATCTAGGACTAGATTAGAACTAGGACTGCATGGGACTATCATTATCTAGGACTAAATTAGAACTAGGACTGCATGGGACTATCATTATCTAGGACTAAATTAGAACTAGGACTTCATGGGACTATCATTATCTAGGACTAGATTAGAACTAGGACTGCATGGGACTATCATAAAATAGGACTAGATTAGAACTAGGACTGCATGGGGCTATCATTATCTAGGCTAAGTTCATCCTGGAAGCTTTCCTGTTTCCTTCCAACAAACTTGTCTGAAAAATTAGAATATATATAATTTTCATTCATTGTTAGCAACATATTTATACTTTCAAGCTTATTTTTGTAAAAAAAGTCTTTAACCTTTCCCCACCCCATTTTAACAAAATGTTTTGAAGTTTTGAAATAAAAAAAAATAATTTTCGAATTCTTCTCTACAACTCTGCAGCCTGATGTATAAGACCTTTTTATTTTACATTATAAAATATAAAATTCTGATATATCAAAAAGTCAAACTTTAAAATATCAAAGGCTTACACCATCAAGTTACAAAGGTGTAGGGATCATGAGGCAAGGTTCTTTACCTCTTGAAAGTCAAGTTTAACTTGTGTAGCGTCTATACCAGTATAAACTCCAGTAACAGTCCTAACAACAACAATTATACAAAAGCTAAAGAGACTGTTTGCGGAAAACAAGAGAATATAGAAGGTTTCATAATATAGAATTGATCGGCACCTGTAAAGAGAAATGGATAAAAAACGTCCGTTGTGGATCACAAATTTTTTTTTCAATGTTCAACATGGAAAAGAGCGGGGAGAAATGAAAGGAAAAAAAGTATAAATGTAATTTGTTTCTACAAATGTACGACACGAATTAAAAGATTTAAATCAAATAGAAACTGTGGTAAAATGTTTGAAATTTTAGAAAATTAATTTTAAATTTGTAAACTTATATTAAACTACATCACTATCCCCCCTCCCCTCCTCTCCTTCCCTGAAAACTTTTCCTATCAAAATTCCCCTCATCACTTTGTCCCTAAGGTGCCTGGGTGTATCAGAATATTATATAAAGTTTCATTAATTTTATAGTAGAGAATCAAATCAATATTTCTTTCTGAAGTGCCTGGCGTTGCCCGTGAAATAGAAAAAAATAGAATAAAAAAACTTTCAAATTTTGAAGGATTTGAAAAAAAACGATTTTTTACCAATGATTTCCCTTCAACAAATTTCAGTCAATTTGTTTCAAATATAGCTAAAATTTTGTTTTTTGATTTAATCATAAATTGACTCTATATATATTATATATATAAAACAAAATTTATATATTCACATATATATATTTAAGAGCGAAGAGCTGAACGGCCCTGCGTTGCCCGTGGAATCAAAAAAAAATTTGATTTTTGAAATATAAAAATTTTAGGATTTGTTGAGACTTTGCCGAGGGTACCCTAAAAAATGTCAGTCAATTCGGTCCAGCCGTTTGGCCGGCTAGAGGGAATTTATATACGCATCACCTCAGACTAACCATGGAGAAGCATTCGGTTTCTTTTATTTGAAATCAAACGTGTTTTGGTCTATAATTCAATAATCTTTAAACTTATTTTATTCTTAAAGCTGTGGATATATTTTTAATTTGATATTTCTTTTAAAACCTATAAAAATTATACAATCCTTTTTAATTATTTCAATATGCACTTTAGATATAATGAAACTCGAAAGTAACCCAGTGGTAAAGAAATATTGTTATTGAATATTTGAATAATAATGTACATTGTATATTGCATATTTGAACCACTTTTATTCAGAATATTTTGAAACAGAAATCAAATCTTAAACTTGAAAAGTAAGAATTATTCAAAGTTTCCAATGAAAACACATAATTTATACAATGAGGAAACAGCAGCAAAACAGGACAAGCTTGAATTTTGAATTTTAAAAAGAAACCTGTAATTTTAGACGTGTAATATTTTTTCTTATAAAACAAATAATTGATTGCTTACTTATAATTTACTGAAAGAGCTGAATTGTTCTCGAGTTTTTCATTACGTTTGGTATTTTACTAAATGATTATGCTTGGAAGTTTTTTCTATTTTTTGATTTGATAATAACTTTTAAACAAAAATCTAACTAAAGAAATTGAGTCTTCCCACAAACTCAAATTTTCTAATCATGAAGATGTGAACCTTCAAACTAACATTATTTGATCTAACAAAATGTATAGTTTGAAATATCTACGGTCTAAAACATCATGGGCTGCGAACATAAAAAAATCTTAGCTTGTGTTGTGACAGCGCATCAATTTTAATCAAATTATAATTTTGACTATTTTCTAGAAATATTAACTTACCAAGCTGAGTTACCGGAAGTAAAGTTAGCAGAGAATGGTATCGTTATAACTCCACTATGCACAACTATGCTCACCTTAAAAAAATATAATTTTGTATAGGATTTTTGTCTACAAAATATTTACTTCTGTTTCATTCGGCATGATGTAATTAAATACTGCATTAGAAGTATTTATTTGCTGGATTACAAAAAGAAAGGAATTAAGTCTTTGCATACACAAACTCAAATCTTTTGATTCAATATCTTTGATAATTAAAACTTAGATTAGTTTACTTGATATAATTCATAAATGGAATTATATAAGACCTCTACGACATTGGGTTGCAAAAATATAGAAATTAGAAAATCAAACTACTTCAAATCAAAAAATAAACCTTGGGAGTTTCGTTCAACAATACTTTCTTAAATTTCCGGCTCTGTTAACCCTCTGAACCCTGTACACCTATTCACCCTGCTCTGTTAACCCTCTGCAATGTACACCTGTTCACCCGGCTCTGTTAACCCTCTGCAATGTACATCTATTCACCCGGCTCTGTTAACCCTCTGCAATATATGTACATCTATTCACCCGGCTCTGTTAACCCTCTGCAATGTACATCTATTCACCCGGCTCTGTTAACCCTCTGCAATGTACATCTATTCACCCGGCTCTGTTAACCCTCTGCAATGTTTACATCTATTCACCCGGCTCTGTTAACCCTCTGCTATGTACATCTATTCACCAGGCTCTGTTAACCCTCTGCAATGTACACCTATTCACCCGGCTCTGTTAACCCTCTGCAATGTACAACTATTCACCCGGCTCTGTTAACCCTCTGAACCCTGTAAACCTATTCACCTCAAACAGTCAGTGCTCTGGATTCCAAATATGTTTTGTTTCTTTACCTTTGTTTGTGTTTTAGGTTGAAGAAAGGGCGGAAACCTGATAACCTCCTTCCTCTCCCTACTCCTGGACGCGCTGTTCTCCGTCTGGAAGGTCATCAAGCTGTTCAACTCTTGCCTGGTTACAAAAATGATGTCATTATTTAAATACTTTGCTTGTCTCTGTTTGTTTGTAACCGATAAACGCCAAAACAGCTAAACTGATCGGGCCCAAATGTTGTGTGGAACCTCACATGAACCCAGGGAAGGTTTTTGATCATCAAAATTGGAGAGAAAAAATCCCGGAAAACAGTTGGAATTTTTATTTCATTTTAAATGCTCCAACTCGAAAAAATCCGCCGAAATTTGAAAATGATATAAAATGGCCGACTTTCTTGCAACAGTTAAAAGCTAAAACTATGAACAAGAAAGGGGGCGGGAAGCTCTCTAAGAGCCTAGTACTCATAGGGTTGAGCAGAGGGTGGGGCACTCCATGCTTGTCCTATATAGGGGCTTTTAAGCTCCCACTCCTCCACGTTGAAGGGGAGCGCTAGGTTACCAACCTGGAGTAAGATCTAGGAAACAACAACACCTCCAATTTTAAAAGTTGAAACTTGGAATGTGAATACCAAGTAATGTGGAGGTACCAGTACAAACGTCGGACGCACAAACGTCGGACGCCACAAACGTCGGACAGTACAAACGTCAGACGCACAAACGTCGGCCCAGTACAAACGTCGGACCAGTACAAACGTCAGACTAGTACAAACGTCGGACTGGTACAAACGTCGGACCAGTACAAACGTCGGACGGGTACATTTATAAGAAAAAACGTCGGACTTGGTAGATTTTGAATGGACCAACTATCAGGCGCGTATACAGGATTTTAGCCTGGGGGGGTGGGGCAAGATTTGGTGCGTAGCGCGAAATTTTTTTGGCCCCCCTGGAACAGTTTTGTTAAAAAAGTTAATTAACACCATTAAAATACATCAAACACACACAATTTTTGGATTTTAATAGAGTCTAAAAATAATTTATTTGCTCAAAAAACTTTAACTTTTTAACTTTAACGTTATCGCTTAACTCAATCACATCTAGCCAGTGGCGCAACTAGCACTTTTGTGAGGCGGGAGAAAAGCGCTGTTTTAAGGGGTTGAAGTCGAAAAAACAGAAATTGCTTACTGTCGCAGGTCTGGCTCTGTGCTCGATATACCATTTCTTATTATAACCAATGGCTTGTTCTTGTGTTAAACAAATTTTATAACTTCCAATAACTGTAAGTGTACTGTTAAATGACCGACATGAGTGAACTTGTTAAATGTGTGCTAGAAGCGCAACAAAATGCTGTTTTAGTCCCGGTCTTAGTCATATTCACTGCAGTGTGTATTAAGTCCAATTGCAGTCTGCATCAGATTTTTGTAATTCATTTAGTAATTGCCCATAATCCATTTATAGTATTTCTGTAGTCCCTCTGCCCTTGTTTGCCAATAAGGGGCTATACCCTTTTTCAACTCCTATAGCCTGAAAAAGTCCTAAGAGTCAGATAAAATCCTTATCATTTCTTTAAATTGTTCTATATTTATATGCAGTTTCTTGGGACGTAAATTGTTTTGTAAACTTAAATGTATGAACTGTAATCCCCATAAGAAGTAACATTTAAATATATATATAGTTTTTTTTAGAGGATAAATTAAATATTCCTGACTTTCTTTAAGTTGAAAAAAGAGACAATAGTTAGAAACTTTAGTCGCATTGATGCGCGAAGCGCCAAGGAAAAATGTTGGTATTATTTTCTTAATTGGCGAAAGGAATTGAGTTTTTGCCACAAATTCTGATTTTCTAATTTCAATATCGATGCAACCCAATGTCGAAGACCTTTAATATTTCAAACCATGAATGCTATTAGATCAAACAATGTAAGTTTGAAATATTAAAGCCTTGCATCATAAGGTTGCAGAGATATAGGATTTACAAAAACTGAATTTGTGGCAAAGACTCAATTCCTTTGAGAAGAGATGGTCCACAATCATGATCGTATTACAATCGAATGAGGGGGGGGGGCGATAAGGAGAGAAACATGCTAAGTGGGGGGGGGGGTGGCACAATCAGGTTCGCCCCCCCCTAGTTGCGCCACTGCAGCTGACTGAATCACTAATCGCAGCATCATTAAAAAATTCAATTTTCACTATAAAACGAAATTTCTTTCAATGAATTTCTCAGTAGAGAGCTCAGACAGCCTTGTGTAAGTAATGCCATGCAAGTAATGCAAAGTCGTTAAGTCTACCCGGCCTACGTCATAGTACATCTTGTGTAATGAAGTATTCTCTTCAGAAGGCTAAAAAATCTCTCTCCTTTATTCGACGTAAGCAGTAAGCACTGATATAATTCTATTTATTCTTTTTCCTTCTGGTGGGTACAAAATGAAATGGAATTAAAGGGAGTGTCCCCGAAAAATGAAAGGGGGGTATAGGCATACGGCGAAAAATAAGCGCTTTTGATCGCTACTAATCTTTCTTCTATCTGTTGCGTCTATAAGGAGAAAATTTATAAAAACGACTCATACCGAATAACGTAGCATCCACCCAAATTGAGAAAATTGCAATCCATGAGTAAGATCGTAAAAAATCGATTTATTATCAAACAAATCATTCAGATATTACAACCTATAGTCATCAATTATTTTTCGATGCATTGGCATTTAGTTGATATTTCATAATATTATGAAAAATTAACTATATACAAATTAATTTTTTACGATCCGAGTTGTATATAACAACGTTCTCAATTTGGGTGGATGCTATGTTATTCAGCATAAGTCTTTTTTCGCAATTTTCTCCATATAGACGCAACATATAGAAGTAAGATTAGTAGCGATCAAAAGCGCTTATTCTTCGTCGGAAGCCTATACCCCCTTTCGCGAACACTCCCTTTAAGAAAGTGAATATTGCCATGAAACTACCATATTATGATTATTGATTATCTTTCGTACCACCATCCAATTAAAAAAATGAAGATTTATTAAGTGCATTTTTTCTTTCTATTCCTCGTATGCATGCTATTTATTTGTATCCAGAAGATTTCAACTTTTAAAAAAGAATAAGTAAATTTCTAAGTAAATGAGAAAAATTCCTAACTTCCTTAAAAAGAGTAAAACCATGCAAAATATGTAAAAAGCTGTTATTTTTGAATATCTCAGACAATTTATTTTACATATTCGAAGTTGTCAAGTATTCTTCAGTAAATTGGGTTGGTTTCACATACTTTTAGCAAAAAAGAAATTTTCTATTTTACACAAGAAAATTGAATTTCTAAAATATAAAAAGAATAAACACAAATAAAATACCTTCGCCAGGAATATTCTAAATTTAGGAAACTTATAAAGTTTAAAGGTATAAAATGACTCTCTGTAGGAATATTAAAAAAAAACTATGAAATGCATCTTTTAAAGTTTATAGTTATTATATCGCCTAAATGTACCAAAATCAAAGTACTTTAAAAGTAATTTAAAGTCACTAAATTATTATCTTTAATAATGCAACATCAAAACAATGCATTCATATTAATATGTCTATAAACCATCATGAAATGAAAATACAAATTCGTTTTTACTCTCTTGGCATTTAATCCAGTATCTACCGGCAGCTAACTGAATCAGCTGGACTGAAAATTATATATATCCCAGCAACTAGCCCAGATTCACATACTTACTGTGTCAGTACATATCATAGATTGATAGATATTTCATCGGTTAGAAATTCTTAGATCGGACATTTTCAGTATATGACATTTCTCATCTCTATCTATATATACCTGAAATCTGTTCCTGTCTCCATGATAGTTCCAGAAGTAGTAAACGGAATTCCAGATTTAGGAACGTTCTCTAGTTGGAATGTCACTCCGGTACATCCTGTACAAATGGAATTAGGAATACGAATTGAAATTTTTTGTTAAATAACTCTAGAAGGAGTGTCTAGAGTTTTGCAAGGGCGAAAAAAGATAAACACATCAAATTTTATTAATTTTCTTGTCATAAACTTACATTGTTTAATCCCTATATCTTTGCAAACTGATAGTATAAACCTTGGAAATTTCTAACTAAGAAAATTTAATCTAACAGAATTCAAAGTTTAAAATATCTAATGTCTACGACAGTGGGTTGCAAAGATATAGGGATTAGAAAATTCAGAGTTTGTGGCAAAAGAATTTTGTCGTACACGACGGTCTAAAGATTGATTTTGAAATATTATAATTCAGCTTTTAAACGGTATTTAAAATATGGGAACGATATAAAATGAGCAGCAGTAGATGGTACAATAAAGGAATTGAGTCTTTGCCACAAACTCAAATTTTTGAATCCCTATTTCATAGCAATCTAATAATTTAAACCTATGATATCTGCGGCAGATATAGGAATTAGAAAGTCCGAGTTTATGGCTGAAACTCGAAAAAATACTGATGTAATGCAGTAAAGTCGTCTTTGAAGTCTCATCGTCTGTAAGAAAATTATTCTTATACACTTGGTTTTTACCAGAAATTATCCTTGGTGATATTTATTTTGCGCCTAGACTTAAGAAAAATAGATGTTTAAGATCATTATGCATTTAATTAAGCAAACTTTTTTTAAACTGTGTTTCAATATTTTTGCATGCATTATTATACAAAGTGTCCCAAAAACATGGGAATTCAGTGACGAATTCGATATCGTCTTTGGTATGAATTAGCATTGTAAGACCTAATTTCAAAACCCATAATATTATCATGACTGCTAGAGTTTATTTTATGAAAAAGGTAAAATACTGTAAAGATGTGTCTATAATGTCTCCGCAAGATTAACAGTGAAGACGGACAAGTTTACTCTGTTTGTATACTGCAATTTTCTTGTTTTATTAAGTACAATCGTATGCAGTCAAAACATTAACAAACAAAATGAGAACATAGCAGACGAAACTATTACAGATTACAGCTTTCTCAGTAGGTATTACAATACTAAATCAAAGAATTACTTAAAAAGACGATATCGAATTCGTTACTGAATTTCCATGTATATTGGGACACCCTGTAGTTCCGTCAGAATAGAAATGAAAAAAAGAAATAATTATAAAAACACAAAAAATACCTTTCACTGGTTCAGAAAGCTGAAATGTATGAGACACGAACGAAGAAACATCCTTAATTCTTTGCCAAGAGGGAACTTCATATTCAAACTTAGTATTTTTAGCCTGAAATTTAGTTGTTTGAAAGTTTAAGATTTTAAATTAACTCTTTTCAGGACAAGTTCGAGTACACCAGGATCCAAATGGTCAAAGAAAAACTTTTTTTAAAGTTTAAAAATCTGCAAAACTCCAGTCTCACTTTACTGGATATTTGCATCACATATTTTAATACCATTGATGCAAGAACCAGGTTTGAAATACAATTAATTGAATTCTTTGCTAAGGGTTCAAAGAGTTAAAAGCAACATGTAGATTAGAATTAACTGTTTGAACCGGGTTCTCATATTATATCCTAGAATTCTAGGTTCTCATAACATCCTTGAAATTCTAGGTTCTCATAATATCCTTGAAATTCTAGGTTCTCATAATATCCTTGAAATTCTAGGTTCTCATAATATCCTTGAAATTCTATACAAATAATATTCCTGCTCGTGATGATTTTTTAACCCTATCCCTGCTGGATACTTGAAAACCTGGATACGCTGGGGGGGGGGTGTCCCCCCTTTAAATCCCATGTTGGATGTCCAAATATGACAAATGATACATAGTTGGAAAGCTCTTTTTATCTTCTTTTAGAATCTCCTTATTTAATTTTGTAAATTTGAAAGAAAAAATAACTGGATTTTGTTATATAGTAAAAATGTTTGCAAAAGCAAAAAAATGTCCAAAAAATAATAACCTATACATTTTTAAAAAGCTCTTGACCATGCCATTTCAAATGTGCAACAATTTTTGCAAAATTTTAAATAACATAAAAAACTATATGCGCAAATTTCTTTTGACGCGTTGTTGTTTGCAAATAATTTTTAAACATTTCTTTGCAAAACTTGTGCAATCCGTTTCCTTATGTCATAGGCTTTCAAAAAAGCTAAAAATTATCATAATCTGACAACTGAAAGGGGGCTAAAACAAAGATTTAGTTCATTCAGGCAGTGTGCCTGAGGACTCGGGCAGTTATTATAAAATCCCGGTTTTAGACCTAAAGTGTCAAATTGATTCCCCCCTTTCCCCAGCAGGGGTAGGGTTAATACAATCCATCACCCACAGATATAAAAAACTGACTACCATCCAAATCGGTCGTGTCTTGTTTTAAACATGATTACCTCATTAGTTTCAACAACTTCCATCTTGTGCTCAGCCTTCAAGTTTGCCCAGTCCATTGTAACAACTACCCGGAGAGATGTACAATCCATCCCACGGATGGGTCGGATAGAACCAATAGGTTCCTGCCAGGTTCGGAGTTTTGGACCTTTTGGGTTAGCAGGGTCGTTACTGAAGCATTCACCTGAATATAATCGGTGAATAACATCTACATTAAAAGAATCTAAAATATTTAATTTGTGTTTCAGTTGAAGTGTAGTTCAATTGTGACCCTCCATACAAAAAGGCAATACCCGTTTCACAATGTTACCTTTAAAACCTTTGTCAGTTTAAATATGAATTAGAGTTATCAATGTTTACAATTTTGAAAACTGATAATTTTCAATTGAACATGGAGGGTCACTTGAAATTTACGCTTATAGTTAATTTAATTTAAAGTAATTTCTTAATTAAAAATTACATTTCCGACTCAGATCAATTAAAACCTTCAGATCTTTGTCTGTGTAAAAAGGATGGAGATAAACTTGTTTTTCTATCTGACAAAAGTATAATTTTCATTCTTCCTATCTGCAGATATATTCGGCAAAGCTAGGAAATTTTAAAAAAATGATTGGATTACTTTTTGAGCAGGAAAACGACATTAACATTTTGAACCGACATAAAATTCTTTACTAAAGCAGGTCCCTTAAAATTACGTCTCAGTCCCTTTCAGTAATTCTTGGTGTGGTAACAGTTCGCCCAATAACGTTTCACCCAATTACGTTTCACCCAAAACGTTTACCAAATAGCGTTTCACCCAAAATAATGTTTCACCCAAAATAACGTTTCACCCAATTCAGGTTTCACCCAAAACACATTTCACCCAACTCACGTTTCACCCAAACTACACTAACTAAAGAGTTTCACCCCAAAAAAAATCTTGCAAAATTTATTTTGACTTTTTAAAAATTATATCTTTTAATTTATTAAAATTGTAAAGATAAGGTTACAGTTATTCTAATTACTGCACAATTTATGCATCCTCTCGGAGTCCAAACATGAATTCCTTGATAAAGTTTGGATTGAAATTTTAAAGTGCAATCTTCAGATTAGCCATCCGGGGTGACCAACGTTCAGTTCTAGATCGGTTTGGGTCAGCACGTCTGACTGTAACGAGCTCTTGTAGCTTGGTCCTGGCCAAGCTATCCTCCGTTTTGAACTTTATTATAACCCTCCAGACATTACAGTTGTTTCCAATGGATTGGTTCCAGGTACTATGCCAGCTTTCTAAAAGTTGTAAAGTTCTAAAAGTTGTAAGGTCAGATAAAATGTGGTTTTGCAGATTTTGAACAAAAACGTTGCGGATTTACAACAATTTGCATTAATATATTTGTATATATGAGTCGACCCACCAATCTAAAAACATTCCCACAATTCTCTTGTTTATCCCAATCAAAATTTGAGGCAAATCGGTCCAGAGGTTTTTGAGTTATGATCGGAAATCATAACTCATCGGCAATGTATGTTTTAGAAAAATAAAAAAAATTGGGTGAAACTCTTCAATAAGTGTAGTTTGGGTGAAACATAATTTGGGTGAAACGTAATTTGGGTGAAACATAGTATTGGGTGAAACGTGAATTGGGGGAAACGTTATTGGGTGAAACGTTATTTTACCTAAAATTGGGTGAAACGTTATTGGGCGAACTCTTACCACACCGTAATTCTTTAATGATTAAGTGATTGAGTAATTAGATTTACCATCGTAATGATACATAGCTTTTCCTTTAAGATTTGCACTCGAGTAGATTACCCAACCTCCGTTCCTACCAAACCAAATATTTTCAAATTAATATATTCCATAGTATCCAAACCAAATATTTTTCAAAATAACAAACTGAATATTTTCAGATTAACTGCCTACGGGTGAATTTTTAAAAGAATATTGGGCAAAATTACAAAAGAAAATAAATAAAATATTATCTTTTTTTCTCATAATTGGACAACACATATCAAATATCATTTAAATTCAAGGAAAGAAAAGGTAAAACTTAGCATATCAAATTCCAGTTTTAGGTAGAATAATATAAAGATAATGTGACAGTTAAAAAGTGGAAGAGACAGGTGTCTCCATCATATTATTATTATGGAAAAGATCAGAAACTGTGAAAAACAAAATAATTGGTATAAAGATCATATCTAGTTCAAAATAGATGGAATAGATGGAAACTCAAAAATATTATTTTTTTTATTATTTGGAAAACATCAGAACTTTGAAAAACTGATATAATTGCTAAAAAGTTCATATCTAGTTCAAAATAAATGGAAAAGATGGAAATTCATAATTACCATTGCTTTAAATCGAGCCCCTCCCCCCTCCCCACCAAAAATGAATTTTATTATTATTTGAAAAGAAAGGCAGATGGCAGAAAATAAGAGAAAAAAAAGAAAGGCAGATGACAGAAAATATCAGAAAAAAAAGAGAAAGGCAGATGGCAGAAAATAAGAGAAAAAAAAGAAAGGCAAATGACAGAAAATAAGAGAAAAAAAAAGAAAGGCAGATGACAGAAAAAATGAGAAAAAAAGAGAAAGGCAGATGGCAGAAAATAAGATAGAAAAAGAGAAAGGCAGATGGCAGAAAATAAGAGAGAAAAAGAGAAAGGCAGATGGCAGAAAATAAGAAAAAAAGAGAAAGGCAGATGACAGAAAATAAGAGAAAAAGGAGAAAGGCAGATGGCAAAAAATAAGAAAAAAAGAGAAAGGTAGATGACAGAAAATAAGAGAAAAAAGAGAAAGGCAGATGACAGAAAATAAGAGAAAAAAGAGAAAGGCAGATGACAGAAAATAAGAGAAAAAAGAGAAAGGCAGATGACAGAAAATAAGAGAAAAAAGAGAAAGGCAGATGACAGAAAATAAGAGAAAAAAGAGAAAGGCAGATGACAGAAAATAAGAGAAAAAAGAGAAAGGCAGATAACAGAAAATAAGAGAAAAAAGAGAAAGGTAGATGACAGAAAATAAGAGAAAAAAGAGAAAGGCTGATGACAGAAAATAAAAGAAAAAAAAGAGAAAGGCAGATGACAGAAAATAAGAGAAAAAAGAGAAAGGCAGATGACAGAAAATAATAGAAAAAAGATAAAGGCAGATGGCAGAAAATAAGAGAAAAAAATTTAAGAAATTAAAACAGAAAACGGAACTGACTGAAGGTCTGTCTAGCATTTTGCTTAATCAACGTTACTGATTAATCAAAATGTAAGTTTATAAATATTTCCTGTCTTGACACCCTAGCCCGAAATTTAAAAAAAGTATCGTTGAACAAAACTCCCTAGTTTCCTTTTTGGAGACTTAACATTTGTGCAGATTTTGATCTTAGAGATTCGAAAAATTGAGAATATGAAGAAACTAAATAAAATAATATTTTATATATCCCGGGTTTCAAAACTGGATTTCACAACGATACCCTGCCTTAAAGGGAGTGTTCGCGAAAAATAAAAGGGGGTATAGGCTTAATGCGATAAAATACGGTCTAAGTCGTATGTTGCAATTTTCTCAATTTGCATGGACGCCATGTTATTTGGTATGAGCCGTCTTTAACAATTTTCTCCTTATAGACGCAACAGATAGAAGTAAGATTAGTGGCGATCAAAAGCGCTTTTTTATCGCATTAAGCCTATACCCCCTTTCATTTTTCGCGAACACTCCCGTTAAGTTTTGGGCTCCGGGGTTAATATATCAAAATTTTGGTGCCAAAAACGAGACTATTTTTAGTTTGTATTCCTGACTAGGTAGCTAGACGGCTTTTCCTGGATATCGAAACTTTTAAAGTTTCCATTCTCGTCGTACAAATTGACACTTTTCCCATCTAAATATATAATTATTTTTAAAAACTTATTTGATATCCATCTACTTACATTTTAAAGCCTGATAAAATAATTATTAAAAAAAAATGTCAACTTTACCAATAATATCATTTCTGCCAGCAGAGCCACGGGACAGGACAGACTCCTAAACAGATATTTGTATTCAGATTATTTTTTGATTCTCTAAAAATATACTCAAACTATTTTTTCAGTGTCCATATATGCATTTGTTGTCCAGAGTGTCCCAATAAACGCAGAAATTTAGAAAAACTTTTGTGTCGTCTTTGACACTTTTAATTAACACTAGCCTTAGAGGGAGATTCGTTCCCATCTTCTAAATTAATTGTGAACATGTTCTCTTTGTGTACATCGTAAAACAAAACAAAAATAATTCGCGGATTTTTACAAAAAATTTCGCGGATTTTCAAAATTTTCAAAAATTTAATGACGATCGAATTTTGATGGAGACAAATATTTGAAATTTTGATCATTCATAAACCTTCCCTTGGGTCCCTAGATGTCCCACAAAAAATTTGGGCCCGATCGGTTCAGCCGTTTTGACGTTTATTGGATACAAAAAGACAGACAAACAGACACACAAGCCAAATTTATATATAGATTGAAACTTTTAGTCATGGGATTTCCTAAACGTGGTCTGCCATTTTCTTTCCCTTTATACAGTGATAACCAGAAAACTGTAGAATATGAAGACGACATTGAAGCAATACTAAAGTGCATTTGATGCTGTTACGAAGCCAATACACGGTACATTTCAGCTAGCCAGGGCAAGTGCAGTGCAGTACAAATACAGAGTATATGAGGCAAAACGGAGCAGTACGACAATGAATGATCCCCTTCTGTGAAATTTATGTGAATAGTTTTACTAGTAATTTATTAAATCACTTATCATGTGAAATGGGCCTGTTTACAATGCACAATTGCTTTGCCTCATGTTCATTGGACTATTTTAAATCATATCTTGATTTTTAAAGCCGATTTCTTATTTCAGAGTTATCTGGTTCTCACTGTAATTGACAATAATTGACAATAATTGACAATAATTGACAATAATTGACAATTAACAAATATTTTTAAAATTTCAATTGAAAATATTAGCAAACTCTACTAATTCTGTACCAGAAAGTTCAATCTCGAGGATAAAATATCGGAGGCTGTATGATGTGATGTAAGTCATGAATACTGTTAGTTGTTACCCTCCGAGAACTGACCAAGATTTTGGGCTAGATACATTATGATAGCTTGGGACAGATTGTAAAAAGCTTGTGAAAAGAGAGTAAATAAGTTTAAAAGATTCATAATTAAAATTTTGATAACCATTTAAAATTCGGGTGATGGTTATGGACCAAACCTCTTTAGAGCAACAAAAATTAGATGTTAGTTCCACATTTTTTGAAAATATATTTCGGTCTGGGTTGACTTGCAAGACCCTTGTCAGTTCTAACGATATAATAACAATCAATATCGATAAAAAAAATGTTAAAAACCACAAGCAAAAAAAAGATTATTTAAAAAAATTGGGCTGTCAAATGGACAAAAGGGAAACGAACACAATGTCAGTTAATGAGGGTATTATTTCAAACTAAACAAATACAAAAATCATTTTTAAACTTCTGGATTTTGCTTTTCATTTATAGTAGAACTTAAATATTTTATAATATTTTGAAAATAAAAAGAAATTTAAAACACTTTTACCTGGTTATCTATTCCAAACAATTTATTTAATTTCATGATTGACGATCTAGAATGTAAAATTGTTTAAGAAACAATACAGCAGATACTTGATAATCAATACACAGTGGAATAACTGACGTATTCTTTTTTATTCAATTTGAATAACAGCTTAAAATTTTATAATTTGTATCCGATTTGTTTTTATACTTATAAAATGTGCCGTGACTCGTGAGATCATAATATGTGTATAAGTTCATATTGTTTATTTGTTTTAATAATAAATCGAATGCAAATTATGTATATGAGTCTTTAAAAAAATTAGCCAATTCGGTCAGGCCGTTTGGCCAGCTATAGCTAACATATGAACAAATAAAGATATATAAGCGAAGAGCGTTACTATAAAGATAAATTTACCATTTTCCACTCAATATTCTTCTCTGCTCCTGTTCTAACTTTGAACCAATTAAATCCCATTGGATTACCCTGCAGGCAAATTAAGAGTAATTAAAGATAGATTAGAAACAGATTCATCGCGTTTAAGTTAATCATTCATTAAATAATTTAAATTATCAATTTATTTCCAAGTTTGGTTTCCATCTTAATTGCCAAAAGCTCTGATTTTCTAATCCCTAAATATCTTTGAAACCCAATGACGTAGACTTTTGAGTTTTGATATTAAAACCATAAAAAATGTTAAATGAAATAGTCTTCACAGTAAGTTTACAAAGAGATACAAAGATTAGAAAACTTAAGGTTATATAATGCAAGGCAAGAAATATATAGTTCCTTGATGCAAGGAAAGTTAATTGCAGTTGCGTATACTCTGCGTACATATTGAAACCAGTTCTCTCTGGGCGGAATTTGTAAACAAGAATAGTACTCGTTAAGTATCCGAGGAGGTTAAACCATTGAATTTGGATAACTCACATAATAGTTCCCTATGACCAGAATATTTCATTAATTTTTTATGTGAAAGATGGATCCCATATTAGGCTTCGACATCCGTCATGTGTTTATAGTACCGCCCATAGACAGTACACCGCAGTATACAAAAGACGCGTACATCTCTGAAATAACGTTCCTTGCATTATAACCTTGTGGCAAAAACTCAGTTCCTTTTAGAGTTTTGATTTAAACGTATTTTATATCGGGTGGAATTGACAAGATTAAAAAGAACAAAAGAACTAAAACACAAGATGGAAGAATTGAATCATCGGTATGAATAGAAGACACAGAAAGAAGAAATCAAAAGCCGGGAGACACGAAAGTCACAGAAGACTGAATAGTTGGGCTGGACGAGGTCATGGGGAACGATCGTTCTTTCACGGGAACGAACAGAACTGAATGATGTAAAAAAGTAGGAACACGCCCAGATCAATGGCTGGACATCGTTCTTGGAGAACAAACGGAACAAAATGGAACGAATTAAAAAAGTAGGAACACGCCCAGCTCAAGGGCTGAACATCGTTCTTGGAGAACGAACGGAACAGAATGGAACGGAACGATTAAAAAAAAGTAGGAACACGCCCAGCCCCACTAAAGAAAGTAATGGAAGAACGAAATTTATGGATGAAACGGAAAAAACAGAATGTACAGAGGCGACGCAAAACACGGATGGAACTTTATAGAGATACTGTACAATTTGTCTATGGCTTAACAACAGATTTGTAAGCTTTTTTTTTGGAAAAATAGTACCTGGTCTAATCCAGCTCTAAACCATAGTTCTCCATTAGCTGATACACCCCATACACCGTCATTACTGCTGCATACAGATACAAGCATTCCGTCAACCTTTAAATACAGATACAAGCATTCCATTAACCTTTAAATACAGATACAAGAATTCCATTAACCTATAAATACAGATACAAGCATTCCATTAACCTTTATATACAGATACAAGCATTCCATTAACATTTATTTATAGATACAAGTTTTCCATCAACCTTTAAATACAGATACAAGCATTCCATTAACCTTTATATACAGATACAAGCATTCCATTAACATTTTTAAAGAGATACAAGCATTCCATCAACCTTTAAATACAGATACAAGCATTCCATTAACATTTATATAGAGATAAAAGCATTCCAATAACCTTTATATAGAGATACAAGAATTTTATCAACCGTTATATACAGATACAAGCATTTCATCAAACTTTATATAAAGATAGAAGCATTCCATCAACCTTTATATACAGATTCCATCAACCTTTATATAGAGATAGAAGCATTCCATCAACCTTTATATACAGATACATTCATTCCATCAAACTTTATATACAGATGCATTCCTTCCATCAAACTTCATATACAGATACATTCATTCCATCAAACTTTATATACAGATGCATTCATTCCATCAAACTTTATATACAGATGCATTCATTCCATCAAACTTTATATACAGATGCATTCATTCCATCAACCTGTATAAAGAGATACTAGCATTCCAGCAACCTGTATATAGAGATACATGCATTCCATCAACAAGTATATAGGGATACATGCATTCCATCAACCTTTATATATTGCTATTTGATATTTATTGAGACAAAATTATTAAATTTTATAAACATTAATATTTTTACCTTGGTCCACCCTGACCCCTCTCCATCCCCTGGCAGCCCATAGGTTTGATCACGGTACATAACCTGTACATAAGAAACATTTTAATACAATTTAGAGGAATTGATCACTCTCCTCTTTCTCAACTCTTATAATACCTATACCTTAGAAATCTGATGGTGTAATATCTCAAAAATGTACTTTTTTCACACCATCAGGTTGCAAAGATACAAATTTAAAGTGAGATCAAATTGATAAAATATGTTTACAAAAAGCTCAAACTTCTTCAGAAAAATTGATCAAGAAACATTTTTAAGTTAAGATAAGAAAAAAACTGTTTTAGATTGACCACAAACCAGTAACCAGGAACCCTTTTTATTAGATTACTGCAACATCTAACAAATAAAGAATTTGGAACAAGAAAATTCCAAATAATTGCTTTTCGTCGTAATACAGAGAAAACACAAAGGATATATAGATAAGAAGCCGTAAAGTAGTTTTCTAGAATGGAAACGAATGAAAAATCAAACAGAAAATCAAAAAATGTAATTGTTTTCCTTTGTGTAGAAAATTAATAAAAAGATACAAAAAATCGGTTTTCACTTTTTTTCTTGATTTTCCCAACGGGGTGCGAAGTTTTATCTAATGAGAAACAATTTTGTAAAGTTTTATGTATTAAAAGATATCACATAACTTCTATCTTCGACTTTGATAATTTGACATGATGTCTGTTCCTAAACTAACTTTTCTTTCCAAACAAAGTTAGAAAACTAAACTTTAAACCGAAACTTTAAGAAGCATGCTTATTTACTAAACCTAAGCCGGAAACTTTTGAATGCATGGATTTAGCTAAACTCATCCGTTCATCCCAAGGGGAGAAAAAGGGTTAAACTCATTTCGAAAATTCGATTTTTTTACTTATGCTAAAAAAGAAAAAGATACGTAAACGAAATTTATTCAATATAATTTGATATTATCACGGAAAACTTAAGTAAATGCAAGTAAAAAGATTAAATATTACATGTTTTAAATCATAAGCCCTGTATCAAGAGCTATTGAGAAAATCAGCAAAATTTTGAATTTCTATTATGTGAGCAGATATATTTGCTTCTCCGTAAAATGAAAACTAGAGGGACCATCAGGTCACAAAGTTGAACCAGTATAGTCGCATAAATTTTACCTTTACTTTCTAGTTTGCAGTACAAAACTCAATTTAGGGACTATATTAGTTTTTTCTTCCCCAAGACCAAAAAAAATTATGATATCATATCAGAAGAGTATTTAGTCATCTTTATATCCTTAACCTTTGAGGGTAAACCCTGTATGTGTGTACGTTAGATTGTTTATATGTATATGTGTTGCACATGCATTAGAGATTAAATGTGATCAATGATTTAGGTATAATACTATTCAAAAATGCATCAAAATAACAAAAAAAAAGATGGAAAAAAACATAAATTTTACCTCATTTTTAGGAGATATTCCCCAAACTCCGGAACCTCCGACAGATATATGAGAAAGACGACCTTAGAAAGAAAATAAAGAAGGTAAATATTCAAATATTTTAAAGAACTAAATATATATATAACTAGCTTGGGAACCCAGCGTGGACTAGGGGAGTCATAGTTAGTCCCACCGTTTACACATCCCTTGTCGTAAATTACGATTTTACCTATTTTTCTCAAAACCAATCAAGGTAAAAACATTTCTGTCACTCTTCAAGTTCTCAAATCAAAATTTGAGGCAAATCGGTAGATGGGTTCCCGAGTTATGGTCGGACAAACAAACAGACAGACAAAAAGAGATTAACATTCAACAACAAAAAGAATTAAGATTATTGCATATTTTACTGTTCTAATATTAACGATAAGTTATTCCGATTCAGGTTCAAAGATTACGTTTCTTAAAATACTCATTAAACACTGGGTTAAAAATGATAAAAAGATATGCATACAAACACTTTTTATCGTGATTTTACAAAAAATAATTATCTTCATCAATTTTTATAGATAACGCCTCCTTTCTTTTCTAATTTAATGCTTCAATGCCTTCTTTAAGGTTTTAACGGCGGTAATAAAAATAAATCTTCATTTTAAAATAAACTATCAAAGACAAATTTCCCCAAACTAAGAAGATAATGATGTTGTCTGAACTAAATCATAAATAACCTGTTACGGATTGCCACTTGGTTCCTATGGGGTTAGAATCCTGAAAAGTTGTTTTTATTATTTAATTATAAATGTAAATATATCGATTTATTTCAGAGGCGTACAATTCAAAATTAATCTATTTATATTGACAATTGTCTGAGAGCAAAACTTTTGATTGGGAAAGTGCTTAGCTTGAAGAACTGAATTCTATATCCAGTATCTACTCAACAAACATATAAATTATTTTTATCAACTCGCTAAATCGGAACAGTTGTCCCATTGTTTTTACGGTTCGGTCCTGCTCCCTACAAGTTTTCCCTTTCAATCCCAATTTGACTAATTAACATTTTGCAGGTTTATATACTTTTTTTGTTAACAAATGTGTTTTAAATAAAAAAAATTGAAAATTACAACTCTGTGACTGTAAGTTTATAGATTGTTGAACTGTAAACCAAAAACGCAAATAAATTCAAATTAAAGAAACTGAACACAACTATTATAGTGAGGTATCCATCGATAAGGTTAAAAGATACAAAAAAATATGCACTGGGGCCGTTTAAAGTTTTTTTTATATTAAATAAAATTTTTTTATTTCAGCTACCCTGTTAGGGGTTTGACCTTTAAAAATTAACTGAACACAGACTAAATTCTTATACATATTGCATACATATTTCTTCAAAATAATCTATGTATAGATACATATTTCTTCAATATAATCTATGTATCTATACATAGATTATATTGAAGAAATAGGAATTGGTAAACATCAATATTATTTATCTTTAGAGAGATGTTAATGTAATTATATATTGTAAAGAATGATTAATACAACACGTAGGAATAAGAAATAAGATATAAATATGGTGTCTTTATACAAATAAAATATCTTAAATAAAAAGAACTTAAAATGTATCTTTATGCAAATAAAATATCTTAAATAAAAAGATATAAATATGTATCTTTATACAAATAAAATATCTAAATAAAAAGATATAAATATGTTGTCTTTATACAAATAAAACATCTTAAATAAAAAGATGTAAATGTGTATCTTTATACAAATAAAGTATCTTAAATGAAAAGATATAAATACGATGTCCTTATACAAATAAAATATCTTAAATAAAAAAATATAAATATGGTGTCTTTATACAAATACAATTTCTTAAATAAAAAGATATAAATATGGTGTTTTTATACAAATAAAATATGGATTTTAGAAACAATATTTAAAGAGTTTTTCTGATCATAAGTTTTTTTTGTGTGTGATACTTTATTAACTTTGAAAATACTGTTGATTAACAGGAGAAGCAACAAAACTAAGATATAAACATCTGTTTTTATTTCATGAAATATAAAATGTTCTGCTATGGTCTTCATTTTCTTATACTTGTGTGCAACATCAACTCTAATGTACAATGTACAATGTACAATGTACAATGTACAATGTACAATGTACAATGTACAATGTACATAGTACAATGTACAATGTACAATGTACTATGTACAATGTACAATGTACAATGTACAATGTACAATGTACAATGTACAATGTACAATGTACATAGTACAATGTACAATGTACAATGTACTATGTACAATGTACAATGTACTATGTACAATGTACAATGTACAATGTACAATGTACAATGTACAATGTATAATTATTTTACCTTAGCTCCTAGTCTTCTCCAGACTGTATCCTTCTTATCCACAGCCCAACATACTCCATTAGGACCAACACTATACATTGATAAATTCATCATTAATAATAAACAATCCCTTTATAGGAAAGTCTGTGGACCTGACAGTGTTTAATTATCTGAACAATCCCTTTATACCAAAGTTTACGAACCTGACAGTTTTCATGTTTCCGTCAATCTTAGTCCACTCTTTTCCTCTCGGTTCATCAGCACTCAACCCAACCCTGACAAATACCTCGTCAGCTGTATTTACACCCCACACAACCTAAACATGTATATAGCCTACTCATCATATGCTTTTTATTGAAAATTCATTCAAATAACAAGTTTTATTTGCAAATAAAATGTCTAGAAGTACTGATTTAAGTCTGTTTAATGTCTAGAAGTACTGATTTAAGTCTGATTATTGCACATCGAGCGGGGGAAAGGCCCCCACCTCATTTTATCGTCTGTACTACAACCAACTGACCAAACCTTTTTTATGTCCAGGCGTTGCTCCTGTGTTTTGAGACGTATTTTTTATGTCCAATAACACTTTTTCAAATTAAGGCAACCACATGTTATTAAAAAAGATTTGATTTTGTTTAAAATGCATTTTTTTGAAAAACAAAACGATATTTAGGCTTAATTCAGCACAAAACGAAAATTCTTTTTTTCGTTCGGACCACACCTATTTTTCCTCCAAACCACACACTTTTTCGTTATTTTTTATTTTACTCGTAAACTACAACTTTTAAGTGATTGTCGCTAAAGATTTACAAATGTTTGGTAAAGAGCATAGCACTTAGTTTTCTTTAAAAAATCTTTTTAACCATTTTCAACATTATGACGTGGCTCAAAATTAGAATAAAATCATGTAAAGAACATTACAAAAGAATTTAAACAATGCCGGACGAAAAAAGGTGTGGTGTGTCTTCCCTCCCTTGTGCAGCACATACAGAAGCTTTTTGATAACACGCTCTTAATCAAGTAAAAATTAAACATTTTCCTGTTTTATATTTCTCGATACAAATAAATGTTAGTTTAGATCTTAAACTGAGATCCATCAGATACTAAACTGATATCTCCAGAGAAACTAAACTAAGATCCTACAGAAACTAACCTGAGATCCTAAAGAAACTAAACTGATATCTCCAGAGAAACTAACCTAAGATCCATCAGAAACTAACCTGAGATCCTAAAAAACTTTCAGTTTTAAATGTTTATTTAGTAAAATGTTGAAGATAGACCATTTTAATATAAAATTACAAGTTTTAAAATGAAATTTCACTTTCTTTTTCTTTTTCTAAAAGCTCTGGTCCGGAAACACATAGTTTTGTTCTTGAGTGGTCATGAAGCCTGTCTCCTACTTTTGGTCTCGTATTATTCGGGCATATTGAACAGGTTTGTTCACTACAATAACCAAACATAGTGACAGGGAGTACTGTATCAGAAGGAGGTAGGGTTGACTCAGGAGAAAGGGGAAGAATTCAAGGGAAGAGTTTTATCCGTCCAGTTGTGGGATTGGAGATTCCAAGGTTGCCTTTTTGGACCGTGGAGTGTGTCAGAGGTTCCTTTTGCAGAGGAAATAGCACTAGGATTTCCAAAACCAGATAGCAGTTAGCATATTTGGCCCCTGCTTTTCGGGAACCAGCAATGGAGAATTCTCTTCTATTAGATGAAACTGCTCTAGAGGTTTCAGCTCGGTAGGAACCAACCCTGAGAGCTCCTGATCTAAGGAACCTACTTGGGAACTCCTGATCCTCAGAAATCTGCTCTGAGGGCTCCTGATCCTAAGGAACCTTCTCCTTGGGCTCTTGATCCTAAGAATCCGAGGGACAGAAACTAACTTGAGATCCTAAACAAACTAACAAACTGATCTGAGATCCTACAGAAACTAACCTAAGATTCTACAGAAACAAACCTGAGATCTTACAAAAACTAATCTGAGATCCTACCAGATCCTACAGAAACTAATCTGTGATCCTACAGAAACTAATATGAGATCCTACAGAAACTAACCTGATAGGATAAACAGATATCCTACAGATACTAAACTGAGATCCTACAGAGACTAACCTGTGATCCTACAGAGACTAATCTGTGATCCTGCAGAAACTAGCCTGAGATCCTATAGAAATAAACAGAGATCTTACAGAAAATAACCTGTGATCCTACAGAAACTAACCTGTGATCCTACAGAGACTAACCTGTGATCCTAAAAAAACCTGATATCCTGCAGAAACTAACCTGATGGGATAAACAGATATCATGCAGATATTTAACTGAGATCCTACAGAAACTAATCTATGATCCTACAGAACTAACCTGAAATCCTACAAAAACAAACCTGAGATCCTACAGAAATCTGCCTCATTTTCCCCATAACAGAAGTCCATGCTGATCCAGGTCCATCAGCTCCGTGCCCAGTACCTTCGTTATACATCACCTAGAGATAATATGTCAGCATTTACAATTTACATGATTTTCCTACTGTATACTCCTGTTTATCCTACTATATAGTCCTGTTTATCCTACAGTATAGTCCTGTTTATTTTACCGTATAATGTTTATCCTACCGTATACTCCTGTTTATCATATAGTATAGCCCAGATTATCCTACCATATACTCCTGATTATCCTACCGTATACTCCTGTTTATCCTACAGTATAGTCCTGTTTATCCTACGGTATACTCCTGTTTATCCTACCGTATAGTCCTGTTTATCCTACCGTATAGTCCTGTTTATACTACAGTATAGTCCTGTTTATCCTACCGTATACTCCTGTTTATCCTACTGTATAGTCCTGTTTATCCTACAGTATAGTCCTGATTATCCTACCATATACTCCTGTTTATCCTACAGTATATTGAAAATTATAGGACAATGTGTTATAAACCGAATTGCTATTCATGTAAAACTAATTAGATATGTTTTAATATGCTTTGATATTTGTTGTGTACATGTCAGAAAATTACTTTAAACTTTAGTTATTCGAATTAATGTATAAACTATTTTGCATATGATAAATTTGCACCCTGATCTCTAATCGTTCTCCTTAAATCTATTTAATTTAAATATTTTGTTATTATTACTAAAATTAGGTGGAAAAAATAATCAAAACAGCCAAGAGCTATTTTCCACCTAATTGCTTTATACATGTACTATTAATATAATCATCCATTTTGTGATTGTAAACTCTATCTGTACACAAATACATTTATTTTAGCAATAAACTTTATCTTATCTTATCTTAGTCCTGTTTATCCTACCGTATAGTCCTGTTTATCCTACCGTATAGTCCTGTTTATCCTACAGTATAGTCCTGTTCATCCTACCGTATACTCCTGTTTATCCTACGGTATAGTCCTGTTTATCCTACCGTATAGTCCTGTTTATCCTACCGTATAGTCCTGTTTAACGGCCCAAACCCCTGCTCCCCCAGCACTGATACATTTAATCTTGGAAGCAGTAGAATCCAGAAGAACAGTCCAGGGAATACTTTCATCTGTAAATACAAACCATATAAATACCTTAAAAACAGCTGACATTAGAACGCTCCAGCTTCCTAATTTTTTCAACTTCATAATTATTCAAACAAATTTTGCAAAACACTTTTTGAAAATGTCTGTTTTGGCTTTATCAGAGTTCATTTGGTTTGAATTTTAATCTGAATTAAAATCCATCAAAGAAACCGTGATGAATCATTAAGACTGGCATCCATATAACAATAAAATATATAATATAATATATAATTTAAATTAGATATTAATGTTTTCAATTTAGAGAACTGATTATTTGAAATTGTAGTTTTTTCACAAAAGTGACTTGCGCAACTTTACTGCAGTTAAAAATATTGAAATTATCAGAATTAACCACTTTTGAACCTAGAAAAATGAAAATATCTTCAATATTATTAATCAAATGATGGTTCAAGGGTGTCGATTTGTTGTAAATATGCATCTTTGGATAGAGGGTCACTTGAAAGTACGCTTACAGTCCCTTTAAAAGAATAACTTTAAAAATAATCCTAAAATGCTATTTTATTTTGCAGTTTTATACCTTGTATTTGCCAAGGAATGTGTTTTAGAAAAAGAATAAATATTAAACTGAAAGTATAATAGATTTATGTTTTCTGTTTTCTGCAGCAGGATAACGGATGAGTTACTTTACAGATTTATGGTAGAGAGGTATAAACTAGACTACGCTTTTCATTCAGGTAACATTATTCAACAGTTTAACTGTTTTGTAGATTTAACAGATTTAACAGTTTAACAGATTTAACAGTTTAATAGACTTAACAGTTTTAAGAAATTTAACAGTTTAAAAGATTTAACAGTTTAATAGATTCAACAGTGTAACTGATTTAACAGTTTTAACAGATTTAACAGTTTAACAGATTTAACAGTTTAATAGACTTAACAGTTTTGAGAGATTTAACAGTTTAACAGATTTAACAGTTTAATAGATTCAACAGTTTAACTGATTTAACAGTTTTAACAGATTTAACAGTTTAACAGATTTAACACTTTAATAGACTTAATAGTTTTAAGAGATTTAACAGTTTAACAGATTTAACAGTTTGATAGATTTAACAGTTTATAGATTTAACAGTTTAACTGATTTAATAGTTTTAACAGATTTAACAGTTTAATAGATTTAACAGTTTAACAGATTTAACAGTTTAACAGATTTTACAGTTTAACTGATTTAACATTTAAACAGATTTAACAGTTTAACAGATTTAACAGTTTAACAGATTTAACAATTTAACAGATTAACAGTTTAACTGATTTAACAGTTTAACAGTTTAACAGATTTAACAGTTTAACAGATTTAACAGTCTAACAGATTAACAGTTTAACTGATTTAACAGTTTAACAGTTTAACAGATTTACAGTTTAACAGATTTAACAGTTTAACAGTTTAACAGTTTAACAGATTTAACAGATTTAACAGATTTAACAGTTTAATAGACTTAACAGTTTTGAGAGATTTAACAGTTTAACAGATTTAACAGATTTAACAGATTTAACAGATTTAACAGTTTAACAGTTTAACAGATTTAACTAAATTAAATTAATAGTTTTAACCTCGTATAGTTAAAAGGTTACCCACAACGGATATGACTGAAAAGACGACCTAAAACTCTTTAAATGTGATTAGATGATTATATTTAGTCGTCTGTCTTGAAGAAGTATTTAATTAATGTAAATAAGATAATCTGGAAAAGAACGACCTCAGCTGAAGGGAACCTTGATCGCAAGAACAAGACTGAATAATTTTCGTACAGTCGTCTCCGAAGTCTCATTCTTTTTGGATAACCCTGTATTTATGTATAAATATACAAACATTGTTTATATTTTGACGAGAAAAAGAAAGAAACAATGCAAAATTAATTACCATGACGGCAAGGCGCCTGTACATAGACTTTGCAAAAATTTAAAATGAGAATTAAATTTGCAATTTGGGGTCAGCAGGATTTAATTTTGCAGAGAATTAATTCTAATTAGATTCTTTTCCATAACATTTAATTCAAATTATTGTTGTATTTCCACTTATTTTTTACATTATACGGTCTAAAGGATACTCTTGTGTACAGAGCGTCCCATATCATATTGGATTATCTTAAAGATGTATTGCCCAAATACGTACGTAATACTCCAAAAACCTGTTATTTTCTGCAAGGAAATTTTTATATTGAACTTATACAATTCTTCAAACTGATTAACTCATAAATTTTCTAATCATGGACTAGTCCCGAAAATCGTAACTTAGAGCCATTAGCGATCCAGTATGAAGTGGGACACCCTGTATAATATATAAATGGAGGAATACTTAAAATTCGTATAACACTCCCTTTCAGCAAAGAAATTAAAAAAATCTAGATTCAGGAAAAATGTTTAGAACTTTGATCCATAAGATTCATATCTTTGTTTTGTACCTGTACCTGTACCTGTACCTGTACCTGTACCTGTACCTGTACCTGTACCTGTACCTGTACCTGTACCTGTACCTGTACCTGTAAAGGTTGCAGTATTGAAGAGTGTTATCTGTGGGTTTCCTAGGGATTCCTTCTTGAGTTTAACAGAGCTGACCTTGCTGTCTGCTGGTACACCCAGCACAGATAGATCTTCATACCTGAATCATTCGATCAATCATTCATCATTTCATCTTCATATAAATTGATGAAATTTATAAATTCATTGATTATTCAACCAATGATCATTCATTTCCACATATTCATCCTTTTATGCATTCCTTCCTTCCTTCATAGTCTAACTAGATAAACTATTGAACTGAACTGGTTCATAAGAGAAGTTCATCTTAAACTAGAACAACTATTAAACTTGAACTGGTTCATAAGAGAAGTTCATCATAGTCTAACTAGATCAACTATTGAACTTGAACTGGTTCATAAGAGAAGTTCATCTTAGTCTAACTAGATCAGCTATTAATCTGAATTCTAAAATGTTGTTCATGAAAATTTTTGTAGATCTACACAGTACACGGTTAACTTTTTAAATTGGATCCAGTCTTGAAAATAGATTCTAATTTGCATACCATGGATGTATGGGCAATAAAAGTTACAACGCAAAGTAACTTTAAAAAAAGAAAATACGATCATTTTTCTGTTAATTGATTAACATTTTTAATCTACTTTACACGGGGAATAAGTTTCTTTCTCTACTTTATGTAAATCGTGCTAAGTAATAAACTTTAGTTACAATATCATTCATTAAACGAGGTAAATATATATATATATGAACTGGACATATTTTAAATTGCGATTTTAGTTATTTTTCATAAACTTGTCAGTCTAATTATAACAAATTTCAAAGTTTTTTTTGTTTTAATCATAAAAACGTCAAAATACTCCTTAACTATTTAAAACAAATAAATGTATAATTCTTGTTTATTTTTCAGAAAATCTTTTTAAATTGACAGATAGCTGAATCAAGGCCAAATCTAACGAACAAAAGATTGAAGAAAAATAAAAACGACTCGTCTTGTGAAAATATATGTAAACCTCTAAATAGTTATTTTTTGGGTCCCTTACTTGCCAAATTATTACTCTGGATGAAAATGAAAAAGTTTAGAAATATATGGACATACTTTATAGATAATCCAAACCTTTTATCTTGTTTTTCACCCACTATACATACATAAATACAGCATTAAAAGAGAAGGAGGTGGGGGGGGGGGGGTTCTCAATTCAGTCATTATTTTAAAGTAGACAATTTGTTCAATTCTAATGTTATTTTGAACAGTAAGTATTTTTTTTAACTAAAAGAACTAAGAAGGTAATAAAAATACATACGTTTTCTTGTCTTAATCACTTACATTTAGTAGTATCACTATTTTAGTCAACTTTATCAGAGAGAACTTCTTACGACTTTGCAAGCGATATAAAACTGGACTTATGTGATCAAATTTGAACTGTTTACACATTTCTGTTTAATTTCATTGAATTGTGTTATTTCTTGAAACTTTACTTCTTGCCTAAAGCCTGTGTTTAAAACAAAGGATACCACTTTTTGGCTGATAACGAATTTTTTTTTCATATTTCTCATTAATTCATAAAATTGAACTTTTACATCCTTTTCTTGTGAATCAGAAATTTCTGTTGGCCTGCAGAGGAAGATATGACAAGAATGTGTTGTAAACGTACTGTTCAGTGTTAAATAGGGTCAAATTAAAAACTATCTTAAGACTTATTAAACAGAGAAACATGGATGTAATTGTTGTTCGACGATCCCAATATGTTTTGTATAAAGTATAAAAATAAAGAATTGACGGTGTTGGAGTGTATCAAACATGTTTTCCTGTTCTAAACTCCCTTGCTCTGTTTGTAGTGAACTGTAGAAATGACAGATCTTGTTTAAAATCTCAAAATATTTCCAGAATTTAACGAGAAAATATTTGTAAAGGAAATTTTAATCCCATCATTCTCATTTAGTCAGCATTAACTTTACATATAATACAGGCTGTTCCCAGGTGTCACAAATAATTTAGGATCATAGGCCAAAAATATATAAATATTTTCATTTAGAAAACACTAGGTTTTTCGAGGATTATGTGCGGATTTCCGCGTTAAATTTTAGAAATAATCCAATATGATATGGGATAATTGGACGCTCTGTAGATCAGTTTCATGTTAATATACCTTGATAGGTACAAAGCTATTATATTTAATATATAACGTTATTATTACATCTGTACGTTTCATTACAATTGATCCATTCATTTTGTTAAATTAATCAAATTTATAAATTCATTCATAATTAATAGATTTAAAATCACTTAAACTAGGAATACAATCCCTTTTTTACCTGATTTATTCATCGCTTTAAACTAGGAGTACAATCCCTTTTTTACCTGATTTATTCATCGCTTTAGACTAGAAATTCAAATCTCTCTTTTACTTGATTTATTCATCGCTTTAAACTAGGAATACAATCCCTTTTTACCTGATTTATTCATCGCTTTAAACTAGGAATACAATCCCTTTTTTACCTGATTTATTCCTTGCATTAAACTAGGAATACAATCCCTTTTTTACCTGATTATTCATCACTTTAAACTAGGAATACAGTCCTTTTTTACCTGATTTATTCCTTGCTTTAAACTAGGAATACAGTCCCTTTTTACCTGATTATTTATCGCTTTAAACTAGGAATACAATTCCTTTTTACCTGATTATTCATCCTTTAAACTATGAATACAATCCCTTTTTTACTTGATTTATTCATCGCTTTAAACTAGGAATACAATCCCTTTTTACCTGATTATTCATCGCTTTAAACTAGGAATACACTCCCATTTTTACCTGATTTATTCATCGCTTTAAAATCTTTTAACCCACTTTAGTTTCATCAACTTACTAAACTCTACTCCCCTCCCCAGAAAGAACAACACAGCACAATTTTTTTGTCCGCTTAATGTTATTTTCAATTCTAAATTCTTTAGTGTAAAACCTCCACCTGTCTTGTAATAAATTTAGCAAGCGGATTCAACAAACGCTCGATTTCAATGATGACATTAAATGTTTTATCTCGCAAAGCATTAGTATTATCTTCTTACATACAGGGTGGAAAATCAATAAATGAGCGTTAAAAGATATATTTGAGGCAGATTAATTTAACCTGCATTTTGTCATATTTTAAGAGTTGTAGGTCGTCTTTAAAGTTTCATTCTAAGTGGGCAACCCCTGTATGCAGTTGCGTAAAGAGAAGGAATTGAGAGATTTAAGATTTCCAAACAATCTTTTGGTTATACAGTAAGAACCAGAAAACTCCGGAATTGAAAGAAGACTTTTAGACGACCATTTTATGATTTTAAATAGGGACAGGAATTGTGCGGTGTGCATAGACCATTTTTAAGCCACTAGTAAAGCTATTTGTTTTGTAATAACGTCAAAAATATTGCTTATTATTAGATAAGCAATATCATTCAATATGATGGATTAAGTTTAAGAGACAGAACAGGCCGACGAACCTTTTTTTATATTTGGTGTGACATCTCATTTAAAAAATGTCACATTTGTAACATTGGAAAAAGACGACTGAGAAGGGTGAGGGGGTACCAACCTTCCTTCTTCAAGTATAGCTAGAAATCCTTGATATCTCTCCTCCGTGTACAATATCCAGGGATTTCCATCCACTACAGCAGACTAAACAACAAACAAACTTGTTAACTTTAAACAATAAGCTTACTCCGTTGTAAAGTCGTCTTTGACTAAGATTTTCTTCGGCAACCAAACCAAACATTACCTCCGATGGACAGTATAAACAATTTTCACGTGCAGTACCCCCGCTTCAAAAGTTAAAAGAATAATACTTAAAAATAGTGATTTACATTTGAAATCAATTGCCATTTTTTTCAGAAGACAAAACGTTGTTTTAGTACTGTTCAATAACCGGTTTATAATCTTTTACCCATAACTAGTAAGTTTTTATTATAATAAAACATTACATTTATACTCTGTAAACCTTTGTTAACTAAATGTATTTTTTCAGGATCGAAATATATTGGTTACCATTTATTATCGATTTCGGGTACAACAGGGGATAAGAAGGTTATTCTATGAATGTTTGAATGTTATGAATGTTTGGGGGCTCTAGTTAATCGGGACTATTGGTTTGGGTAATATGTACCCTTTTGGTTCAGTCCCTGGAAGATAACTGTAAAGTTCCCCACTGTTCATTTCGAGATCAACCCCTTGCTTAACTCAACAAAACTAGTTTTGGACATTTTATTTTCTTGATAAACGCGGATTCAGATTTAATGAAAAATTACAAAATATTACTAAAAAGTAAATAGCTACTACATAGAGACCAACAAATTCTGGAAAAGGAAAACGACTTTTAAACTAAATAGTTCAATTAATATAAAAATAGCACTGTACGCAGACCCCTTTCCCAAAAAAAGGTTAATTTTATAGCTACAAGCAAAACATTTTGGAATATAAAACCATCAAATACACAAAAAATGTATTAAATGTCGTCACCCTATTCTAATTTGGTATGGGTCCCACTGTAGGACTCCGTCCTACAGTGGACAGTATCAAGCATTACATCCCACTTCAACACTGCTTTAGAGTCGACAACTCCTGGCTTTTCATGGCACACAACAATGCTTTAGAGTCGATGTCGATGTTTATACATATTTGTTTGTTTATATAATTGTTTGTTTCATATTTGCTTGTTTATGTATTTGTTTGTTTATATATTTGTTTGTTTATATACTTGTTTGTTTATATATTTTTTGCTAATATTTGTTACTTTATATTTGTCTGTTTATACATATTTGTTTGTTTATATATTTGTTTGTTTATATATTTGTCTGTTTATATATTTGTTTGTTTATATATTTGGTTGCTTATATATTTGTTTGTTTATATATTTTTTGCTAATATTTGTTACTTTATATTTGTCTGTTTATATATATATCTTTGTTTATATCTTTTTTTGTTTTTGTATTTCTTATTTTACATTCGTTTACCTGAATAGTAAACTTGACTCCTGCCTTGGCGAGGTTAACCTCACTATCCTTCAGAACTTTAGAGGTTCCGTTACAACCAGCCTCAGAATATACAGTTAGAGGCATATTCTCTGAAATAATTACGTCATTTTTTAATTACTGTCGTCTTCGATGAGTTTGATAATTATTGACATATCTTATGATTTTGTATTTTGAATCTGGTGTAACTCTGGAAAGACGACCAGAGCTGGGAACTTTTGTGTTGGATAATCATAATTTCGATCGCTTGATCTCGATATCCACTGTGCACTTTTGAATTTTATGGAGAATCTGCTCAACCTATAGATTTCTCTATTCTCTAATTGGTTGAGAGCTAGATTTCCTGGCTTTCTATTGGTTGTTCGTGTTCCACAGACGACTCTTTTTACGTGATATCGAGTTAAGATTAAATTAATCTGAAGATTGACAAAAGAGCCAAATAGCATATGAAAACCATATCAGCTCTTTCTCTCTTAAGAAATTTTTTTCCTCCAATTTCTCTTTAGTCCATTATCTCATATTATCAATCCCCTAAATTCACTTGTAAGAGAATATGTTCAACTCAGTAATTGAAAAGTATGATTTTAACGCAGTCCGCTATATATTTAGAAGTATCCAGCTCTGGTAATGTAAATACGGTTTCATCTTAGGGGTTTTACAAAATTTGTTTAATTGTCTAGAACAGTGTTTAATCCTTTTGATTGTATTCCCATAATTTTTAAGTTGTTTGATATATATTTATGAAAATATGTATAAGAGCAAGAAAAATAACCACGGTTTTCCAAAAAAAGTTTTTTTTTTAAAATACATCTATGATTAGCGAATATTTGTATTTACTTTTTGCGATTGAATAATGAATAAAAAGATTGAAAAGGGTTTCTTGAATATTTCAGTTTCACTATTCTGCAACAGTTTTTATGATTACAGCATGATTGGGGAATATGAAGATTATGGATTGCAACTCCTGGATGCTTTCAGCCAGTATAAGCTTCTCTCATCTTTAACTCGCCAACCCCCCCCCCCCTTATATTATACAAACATGGTGTTCATTCATAAACAAATTTGTTTATGAAAAAATATCTCAAATCTGATCCAATAAAGTAAAAATATTATTTCTGAAGAAAATGAATTGAACTTAATCAACTGGATTAGATTAATCCACTGGATTAGATTAATCCACTGGATTAGATAAATCCACTGGATTAGATTAAAGTAATCTTAATAATTAATCTGGTGTCCCTGTCCACAATCTCGTTAACATAAATATTAATTTACTCCAATATTAACTTTCTATTTATTTTCCAAATTATCTACTTCAATTATATTTTTGAAACTGGTCGACTTTCTACTAATTTTAATACACTGGTTGGGTATTTATTTATTTCTAGTACACTTGTCAGCGATCTTTTATTTGTAGTACACTTGTCAGCGATCTTTTATTTGTAGTACACTTGTCAGCGATCTTTTATTTGTAGTACATTGCATGGTCAGCGTTCTTTTATTCTATAGGACACTGGTTACCGGTAAGTTAAGATCTAATTTCCAGTACACTTGTAAACGGCTTATATTCAATAGTACACTGGTTACTTTTGATTTTTAGTACAATGGTCCACAATCTTCTATTATATAGTACACTGGTTACCGGTAAGCAAACTTTTAATTTCTATACAATAATCAGCGATCTTCTATTTCATAGTGCACTGGTTACCGATAAGCAAATTTTTAATTTCTAGTGCAACGGTCAACACTGGTTACCGGTAAGCAAACTTTTAATTTCAAGAACACTGGTCAACGATCTTCTATTTTATAGTACACTGGTTACCAATAAGCAAATTTTTAATTTCTAGTACAATGGTCAACGATCTTCTATTCTATAGTACACTGGTTACCGGTAAGCAAACTTTTAATTTCTAGTACACTGGTCAACGATCTTATATTTTATAGTACACTGGTTACCGGTAAGAAAACTTTTAATTTCTAGTACAATTATCAGTGATCTTCTATTTTATAGTACACTGGTTACCGATAAGCAAATTTTTAATTTCTATACAATGATCAGTGATCTTTTATTCTATAGTACACTGGTTACCGGTAAGCAAACTTTTAATTTCTAGTACACTGATCAGCGATCTTCTATTCTATAAAGTGAAACCCTTAATAACGAATACATCGAAAGAATTCATCAAATGTCGTATTCTTCACTTTCTGATAATGGAATGTTGCAGATATTTAGTTTTTTAATTAAATGATTATATGGAACTCTTTAAAACTGTTCTCGCATATTCATGGCTATTTATTTATTTTGGCAAATACTGAAATTTACGTAATATAGTATAAAACTCATTGAAATATTGTCAAGACGACATTTTATAAATTCTTCCGATGTATTAGTTATTAAGGGTTTCACTGAAGCACACTGGTTACCGATGAGCAAATTTTTTATTTGTAGTACAATGATCAGCGATCTTCTATTTTATAGTACACTGGTTACCGGTAAGCCTTTTAATTTCTAGTACACTAGTCAACGATCTTCTCTTCTATAGTATCACTGCACTGCACTGCCTTCTATTACAAGAGTGAAGTACATCAGATTCTATTGCACTGGTTGGCGCACAAAAATGTGTATATATAACACCGGTCCTAGCGCTATTACCTCGATATCAAACTACAATCTTTACAAATTTTTGGTTTATCTGTCGGGTCGTTACTATCTTTAAATACATTTTTATTTGCATTTTATAGTAAGCCATTAAAAGCGCACCAGATTCTATTGCACTGGTTCGCACGCAAAAAATTCTAGAACACTAGTCGGTGCGTTACTACCTTCTACATAGTATACTAGTCGGCTACCTTCTTGTCTACCCTGGTCAGCGTGTTACTACCTTTCAGTACTCTGGTCGGCGCGCTACTATTTCTGTCCATGTTGTTGTGTATTATTTTGTCCATGTTGTTGTGTATGATTCTGTCCATGTTGCTGTGTATGTTTCTGTCCATGTTGTTGTGTATGATTTTGTCCATGTTGTTGTATATGATTCTGTCCATGTTGCTGTGTATGCTTCTGTCCATGTTGTTGTGTATGTTTTTGTCAGTGTCATTGTTATTGTTATTGCCTTCGTTTTTTGTCCATGTTTTTGTGTACGTTTCTGTCCCTGTTGTTGTTGATGTAGTGTATGGTTCTGTCTATGATATTGTGTATATTTCTGCTCATGATGTTGTATATGTCTCTATCCATGATGTTATGTTTCTATCCATGATGTTGTGTATGTTTCTGTCCATTTTGTTATGTATGTTTTAGTCCATAATGTTGTGTATGTTTCTGCCCATGATGGTGTGTATATACACCATATATTCTGTCCATGTTGTTGTGTATGTTTCTGTCCATATTGTTGTGTATGTTTCTGTCCATAATGTTGTGTATGTGGCTGTCCATATGTTGTGTATGTTTCTGTCCATTATGTTGTGTATGTTTTAGTCCATTATGTTGTGTATGTTTCTGTCCATGATGTTGTGTATGTTTCTGTCCATGATGTTGTGTCACTTAAATCAAGAACAGGAAAAGAAAAACATTGTTTTAATATTTATCCAAAAAAATGACAAACAATTTTTGATTTCAAGTTAAAATTCCTTGTGGTGTCAATGCTGAAAAATGAACGCCTGTTCACCCCTGTATAACTCTCACCCTGTATTAACAGTATAAGCTCATATCTGCATTCTTAATATGCGGTATTTACATGTTTCATGTCTTTTTTAATATATTAACAAATCATAATTCTTAAAAATTCTTTAAATTCCACAAAATAAAATATATGAAATGTAAACTACCCTCAACGCTTCTCTATTCTAATTGCACCTATTTGCCCCTAAAACATCACAGACAATGCTATAGGTATCCCCTAGTTGTGAAATGTGTAGGATCAAAGAGCGTGTAAGGAAAGTGGTGCTTTAAATATTTTTAAATTGTCCGTAAAAGCTGGACAAATTCTATCACGGAAATAAGGAGGAGACAATAAAACACACAAAAATATTTTTTCTTGAAACCCTTTCTCATTTGTATCTCTCTTCATTAAGTCTTCCCCCTCCCTTTCCCTGTATACATCCTAGATATCCTGGCCGGTTCTGCCACTTCAAACTGAAGATAATTTCACACAAGATTAAAAAATTATATGTTTTCAATCAGAACTTCTTTAATTGAAGAGTTAAATTGAGATAACAGAAACTTTTTGAATTTATAATATCTAACCGAATACATTTGTATTTCTCATATGTAAACTCAAAGCTAGTTGTATCGGTGATGTAGCATCTGCATAGATTTTATCCTTCTGTCTAGGTGCTGCAAGCTGTCTACATCAAAAATACGTCCAAAAAAACGGTTAAATCATGGACCTTTTTTTTCGTGCGTTAAGTCAGTTACTCTACTTTTTATGGGAATATAAAGGTTTGACGCGATGTACTGTTTATGAAATCAAGTAACTGCCAAGCTTTGAATGATTTAAAAACATTTATTCATCTTGGAATAAAATAATACGAAAGAAATATAAGTTTAAATAGGAAACTGAGCTATGAAATATGCAAGTTTCATAACATGTTCACTGTTCCCATATGTACCCTAATATGTACACATACATATGGTATACAAAGTACGACTTTGTAGGTTTGAATTCGCTAACTAGTATCTAGAAACCTAAAATAACCTATTATGATATTTTGTTGAACACATCTAAACTCTAGGTCGAGAAATTCAGTTTGAGATTTAGGTTAGATTATAATTGAATTATTCTAAATTAAAATTAGATATAATTCGCAATACTGGCCAACAATGTTCAGACATATTTAGATGCTCTCGGTAATAACTCACTGGATTCATTTTCATTTTACATGTTAAGGTTTAGGTTTAGGTTTAGGTTTAGGTTTAGGTTAAGGTTTAGGTTTAGGTTTAGGTATATGTTTAGGTTTAGGTCTAGGTTTAGTTTTAGGTTTAGGTTTAGGATTAGGTTTAGGTTTAGGTTTAGGTTTAGGTTTAGATGTAGGATTAGGTTTAGGTGTAGGTTTAGGTTTAGGTTAAGGTTTAGGTTTAGATGTAGGGTTAGGTGTAGGATTAGGTTTAGGTGTAG